CTTCAACCAGAAAGGACATTGTCTCAACGACTTAATTACCTACATCCTGCTTCAAAAGCCTTTTAAGACTGCACTTGAAAGAGAATCCTCTGAACTGTCATTCATGCTAAAATTCAACACTTTATGCCGGGGTCTTAACAAAGACTCTTGTTATCTTACCCATTACAAAGATAGCTTCCCCAATTATCACCTCTTATATCATTAGCTCACAGACATTCCGCACTCCGCTTCTGTTCTGAAATTTGATTTGTCCTTTCCATATGTGTTCATTTTTTTAATTGTATCCTTTGGTATATATGGTTGTGACTATTTTCTTCCACTATTTGATCTGAGGAAGTGGATCTGGCCCATGAAAGCTCATCATCTAATAAACCATCTTGTTAGTCTTTAAAGTGCTACATAGTCCTGTATTCTGTTTCAGCTACACCAGACTAACACAGCTACATTTCTATCACTATTCTAGGAGTACAACACTTACTGGTATCCAGTTTCTGCTCCCTATGTTGTTTTCAGTCTGTATCTTCAAAGATTTTCAGGACTTCCCTGTCTCTTGAATGGTTGCACACTACATAATTGACCGGACCAATGTGGTTATAAAAATACATGATAGGAAAAGGAGCTGATCTCATTTCACAAAGGGTGAAATTCCCTCCAATGAGATGGCCAGCATAACGCCTGTGTGTCACTTAAATCCCACGTTAGACCAAATGTATAGGTCTCAAATAGTGCAAGTCCCACGTATTTACTGATTCACTGCTGTTTAACCATAACATTATAATATTTATAGTGGGTAAAGATATCTGCCCAGAAACATGAGTATGGGCATTGCAAATGCTTTCTTATTTCATACCCATGCAAAAGATAACCATTCAACAATAATACTGATTTTTCTCACATGCTTAATCATTGAAAGAAAGCCCTAAAGTGCTCATACCATAGTATCTGAAAAGAAATTTCTCACCCTACCTCCATCTTCATATCTGTTTTATACCATTGCTGACTCATAGTAAGGAAGGGAACTTTAAAATTGTTTTCAACAGTACTTGTAGAGAGAATTGATTAAAAAAATAATCGCTGAGCAGGAGGGTAAGCCCTGTATTTTTACTGCTGTGGTTATTATCCCACCAAGGCTTCTAAAGGTTAAGGAGCAGAAATGGTATTTCAGTACACAGTAATTTCATTAGTCTTCTTTCCCTTTCCTCTGCCTTGTGATTTGAAAAAATGATGCATTTCTTTATAATACATTCCAGGGTAGCTGTTTAGTTATTTAGGGCTTGTCTACACTTAAATCACTACAGTGGCACAGCTGTACAGCTTCGGTGCAGACACTCCTTAAGCAGCTGAGAGGGGTTCTCCTGTTGGCATTGGTAGTTTTTCAACCCCTGAATGATGCAGTTAAACTGACCTAATTATCTAGTTGGACCAGTACCCAGATTATAAACACCTTGGGGCAGGAACTGTGATTTTGTTTTATGTACAATGCCTTGCACAATGAGGCCCTGGTTCTTGATTAGATTTCCTAAGTGCTACAGTGGTATAAATAATAGCATAAAAGAAAAAAACTATTTAATAGCTAGCACAACATGTGTCTAGCAAAATCCTCAAAAGTCAATTTAAGATACAGGTGTAACAATAAAGGAATACTAGGAGGCAAAACCATACCCTTGCTAGACATGAATAGGAAATGTTTTTCTTATCCTGTGAATATCTTTGATTTCATCATTTTTTTCTTATCTTTAATGGAGATAAAAAGTCCTCCTTTCTAAAATATTTGCAAACCAAGAAACTGCTTTTTAAAATTTTAGATTAAAACATTTCATTTTTATATTTGAAAAATTCTGATTTTTTTCTTTCTAACCTTTCAGTCTAATTAGCTTGAAATTCTTAATAAAAGTTCATTTAAAACTGGAAAAAATTAGTATTTTATTTCAAAGATGTCAAAACAAATGTTCTGACAATTCTGAAACATTTTCTTGACTTTTTTGAGTTGAGAAATTAATTAAATACCCCACCATTGTTTTGTGAATGGTTTCAGGTTTGGTGAATCAGCTTTTTTTTTTTTGGGTGCGGGGGAGAGGAGAGGGGAGGACAATTAGCAAATTCCCAGACAGCTACCCCTATTTCCCCCCAACACTTCCAGAGCGTTACATTGTGATTGTCACATAACGTTCCCTAATAATAATACAGCTTCACATGACAAAGGCTATGAAATAGTTTCTTTTGCTATCAAGTTTTGAATACCGTTCAGTACCCCATCGTTGTAACCTATATCCGTTTCTAATCAACAGTAATAAACCATATGCCTGATCATTAAGTTTGTGTTTAATGTTCCATATTGATGAAAGTTTTGTATTTAGCTAGTGTGCTGTTTATACTATCAACATTCATATGGATATAAACTGGGCAAACACATCTTTTTCATTTATAGCTATGTATAAATTATATATAGCCAAGAGTTCTGTCTTTTGAGTTTATAAAAAGATTGTTTGGTGTGTTACTAAATGGAAATTGTGCTGCGACCAATATAAATGACATCACAGTAACCAGACTTAGTTTGGGAAAGGCACTGCACATACTATATGCCCCATGCTTACACCTGTTCTATTCACTTAAAGGTGATTTGGCTGTTTTTGTTTATAAATATATAAAGAGAATAGAGAAAGCAAGTAGATGAAATGTGGTTTATGAGTGCAGTAATTATGAATCACCATAAAAATGGAATGTGCTTTATTAACCTCAAAGCCTTTGATTTCTTGAAAAAACTCTTTGAAAATAAACCTATATACCATATAGTCATATGCAGTAAAAAGTTCTGAAGTTCATTTCCTAGTGAAAGTGGTGATTGCCATAATTCTGTAGCAATCTTATATTTCTGTTGACTATGAATAGCAGGATAAGTGGATGAATAAGACATGTGAAATACACAAATTACTGCTTTAATGGTAGGAAACCGTGCAGATCATATTCATTTTTTCCAGCCATTTTAGCTCTGGCACTTGAATTTGTGGTGGAACTACAGTTGTTTTTGGATTTGGCAGTCTCCTGCACATGACTGGGAGATCACTACTACTCTGAAACTGTCACAAGTGAAAAAAAATAAATTTGGGGACAAGACCAAAGCCTGAGGGACACCAGAAGGGAGTGGAAAGCAGAGGGGGAGGAGAATAAGCCTCTAAGAAAACATGAAAAGGGTGGTCAGCAAGACAGAAAAAGAATAAGAAGAATACAATCATGGCTAGAGTAGCTGGAGAAGGAGAGACTGAGCAATGAAATAGCAGGCCAAAAGGAATACATTTTGGAGAAGGGGCCCTTCAACTTAAAATTGCTTTGAAAAGAAGAGTGTAGAGCTGAGAGAATACAAATGTAACACGGAGAAAGTCTTAGGGAATTATGGGGCATTCTCTGAAGGCATCAATAACACATCTGGAGGAACTGAGATAGTCTACATGTGTTGGGAGACTGGAGCAGAAACTTGGAAAATTGAAGTCATCTCAGTTGAGATTAGAAGACTGATAGGAGAGAAAGAATGAACCAGGCAAATGGATGGGAGCTGTCAGCCGCTAGGGAAGGAGTGATACCAGATAGGCTTGGAGTTCAAATTAGGGGCAGGTGAGGGACAGAGGAGTTATCTGACATCACTGCTGCAGCCTGTGAGTCTGGGAGAGTAAATGCAAAGAGAGGGCAGAAATCAAAGTTGCACTGAAAGGATGGAGCCTCTTTTTCAGGAAGATCAAGCTGGTGAAGGAGTTAGGGATATGGGCTGTGAAATGAGATTCTTGTAGTAAATCTAATTTAAAAAATCAAAAAACTTCTGAGAGAATCATTTTCAGAGGCAATGAAACCATTCACAGAATGGTTACTGACCCTACGTGAAATGTTTCTTTTTAACCTCAGTTTAATAAGTCATTATTCACAAATGAAGTATATCTTCTGACTTTTTGTAGGAAAAAAAACTTCTTTAGTCGCTATTTTTAATGAACACACTGAAATACTCCATTAAGCTATAAATGCCCCCATTAGAGATGTCTTCTTAATTATTTGAATATATTATGATATTGAAACATTTATCTGTCCTAAAGAAAATATAGGGCGGTGTATGAATAAATCAATAATGTATGCCTGGTGAAATCAACACCTTTTTGTGTTTTACAGCATTTATAAAAACACTATAAGTTGAAAATCATTCTAACCCAGAAAATGAGGCTAAGAAATTTTAAATATTTCTGGATTTTCCTGAAAGTTCTTCTGAGAGTGGTCACTATGAGAATAAATGCAGTATATTAGGTTTAATGCTGTGAAATGTGAAGTTTCCTCAACTGTCACTGAAATAACTATCTCCCTGATTCTGCATTTGTGTGGCTCCAATTGCAGGATCTGATCCTATGTCTATTTACAGTGACAAAGACACTTCTCTTGCATTACAAATAAACTCAAGCCACCTATTAGGATCTAATTTGGAAAAGCCTTACTCTCCTCAGTCATCCATGCTTATAAGACTAGTCCAATTGTCTTCATCAGGACTGTTTGTGTGAGTATAGGTTAGATTTGTAAAAATAAATCCCAGTTTTTCAGGCTGAAAGAAATCCTTATTCTTGCTGATGAAGGAGCTAATGCTGACTTTTCTATTTTTAAAGACTGTTAAATAAAGAAAAATTTTTGATGCTCATCAAGAAGAATAGGGAATGTAGTGAAAAAATTTACTTATGCTTTTTTTTTCTTGGTGAGATCCTCTGGGAAAAGAAGCTAACTCGGTGGGTGAAAATAACTGATTTGGAATATCAATTACCTATGAAAGACATGCCCCAGACTCAGTGAACTGTCAGGAATTTTGTCACTACCACATGCACGCCTTTAGAAGTTAAATCTGAAGAGAGAAGCTGTTATTAAGAATCTTTCCCAGTACAACACACACTCTCATTCTCACTAAAACAACTCTTAATTAGTACTTCTTCTTTTTCTTCTTCCTCCTCCTCCTCCTCCTCTTCCTTTTTTTCAAACAGCACCAGGGAAAAATTGGAGTTAAGTTTAATGTTGGAACTGATGACATCTCTATCGAAGAGATCAACGCAATCATTAATGATGGAAAATACCATGTAGTACGTTTTACAAGAAGTGGTGGTAATGCCACATTACAGGTGGACAGCTGGCCTGTTATAGAACGTTACCCAGCAGGTAAGAAAATAAACCAACATTTGTGGAAGTGGGGATGAGGAAGTATTTGGAAACGTGATATGCTTTGTTTCTGTATTCATAAAATATCAGCTCCTTCAAGGTGTTCTAGTTATTAATTGAGTAGTCAAAGGGTAATGAACATCTTGCAGGTTATGATGATGGCATTTCCTATCTTTTGTCAAATTTATAAACCTTAATGAAAATGGAGAAATGTAGATGTCAAGGCACAAAAACAGCCAAGTTATTTTTTAAATTTGTTTTATTCTTACTGGATCATTGTATTTAGACATGGAAAAGGCTTTGACAAAAGAAATATGATAAGACAAAAATGTGACAGGAAAATTTGTACTGCAAAAGCAATGCTGTCTGGTCTTCTTCTAATAACATCAGGCTTTTATAGTACTTTGAAACTTACTAACTAAACAGAAGTATTATAACAGTCCTAGAAGGGGGGGACGGGACAACAATGCTTAGCTGAATACACAAATAATACATTTAAAGCACATTTAGTTAAATGCAATATATGGATTCAAACTTACAAAAGCTATACTCATGGGAATGGCCTCATTGACATCAGTAGGGCCACTCATTGGAAAAAAAGGCTTCTAAGATAAGGCCTGAATTTACTATAAGTAATCAAATACTGTGCCTTGAAGAAGAAAGTATACTATTAATATTGTTCATCTGTAAAGGCAACAGTCTTTTAGATATACATGTTACATATTTAAAAATCTGTTGGTCCATTAATTGTAATTTGTTAATCTGCATATTATCTGTTATCAATTTTTATAAGTGTTTGTATTAGTAAATCAAAGGCAGCAATCCAAAGATTTAAATGAAAGCTATCATGGTTTTTACATTTTCTAGTTAATCTTTGTAGCTACACAAAATGGTAAACTTTTTGTCCTCTTCTGAATAGATTTAAATTTTAAGTACAGAAGATATCAAACACATTCCTTGTGCTAAGAATGAACTTGTTATTCTTGAATCAGTTTTTTTCCTTTTGTATTTGAAATTATCCTCTCAGGTTTACATGTCAGGATTAGAAAATTCCATAAGTGAACTGTCCGTGCAAATCAGATCTATGACAAAGTTGATATTAAAACAAAAATGATGTAAAAAATCTTTACAAAAGGTAGGTCCATATAGATGTGAATGCCCAAGGTCTGTGTGCCAATGTCTTCAACAAACTAGCAAATCTTGGTATTCAATTTAAAATGAGAGATTAGTTGAATCTGACAGCACACTATGTTTGTTTTATATCTAACGTGTAAAACACCCCTTAAAGAAGCACAATAAAACATATGTCATGCAAAATTTAGAATAGTGATGCTATATTATGGAGAAAGATATGTTTTGTGTGTATGCATGCATATGATTTTTCCCAAAGCTTTTTTAGCATTAATAGGAGGTCAGCAGAGGCTGGAATAAAGGGAAATGGTGTGGGACTTTAATTTAATGAGAAGGGGAAACAGGGCATTTGGAGAGAACAAAAAGAAAGGGATGCTTGTGTAGATGATGCCTGAAGTATGGCATGATTTTCCTTTACACTGGTTGCAATCTTTTGAGTCTCTAAAATAGCCATCCATGACAATGCTGAGCAGCATCTGAGCCACGAAGGCACTGGTATGGAAATAGTTGACTTTAAAGCAATATCCCATGCCCTAAGGAAAGAAACAAACATTAACATACTGATAACTCCATTTTGCAGAAATGAAAACATGAAATAGAAGATCTGTACTACTGGCACTTTAATATACAGGATACTCTAATGCTCCCATTTCAAAATAGGGAAATGGCCATGCTGAAACAATATATCCATGCCCAAGACTTCAGTTACATTTTTTTTGTACTTTCAGTAAATTTAGAAAATAGCTTGATTTTTGGCCATTATTGTTGGTGCATTTCCCTAGTGACATATAAGGTTACCCGAGACTCACCTCTCTCTACTGGAGTACCCACAGTGGTGACTGCTAAAATGAGGAAACTTTCCCTTTTCATGAATAATCTTATCTATACTAATGGGTGGAGACAGGGTTTCTAGCTAATTTCTGTAAAACAGTAAAACACTATTTACAGCATTTATGTTTATATTTGCTGTCTCCAAGATAGCTAAGGATGAGTTGAATTAAATCCACTCTTTCAGTGATAGCTCAATCTCCTTGCTTGTTTCATTGCTTTACTCACAACCATTGTATTTCTTTAATCTTTCTTGATTTTTTTTATGGCTAGCATCATATTGCTCTTTTTCGGACAATATCATCTTCAAAAGTTTTCTTTTCTCCCTGTTCCAACATAATATCATCTTCCCAGACCTTTCTTTCTCTTTTCCTCATGTTATTTCATCTAATTTTGAGCTTATGCTATGCCTTTCCTCAGAATGGTGTAGTTTCTTCATACAATTTAAGGGGAATCAAACAAGCTCTGAACAATGTGGGTTCCTCCAATCACAGAATAGTTCAGAAGTGTACAACGTCGATTTGTCTCTAGCTATGTGAGTGGTGCCATTTAAGACATGAAACTAGCCCTTGTAAAATTAGTGTTTCTACAAATGAAGTCTTAAAGATGTCATATTTTGCAAGTTGGAAAACACTGTTGCATGTCCCTTTCAGAAGTACTGCTGTTGTTAATACTTAAAGGATTGGCATGGACGCTTAAGCATCCTGACTATCCAATGATCTAGCTCATATGTCAGATGTCTGGTGAGGGGACAAATGGTAATGGATTTCTGCATCATGGAGCATTAATTTCATTTCAGTGCCCAAAGTCTCTGCAATTTCAGTTTTCTGGGAGTTTTCTAGTTTTCTATTTAATCTATCTGTCACCAAAATATTAAATGACAATGTTACCTCCTTGTCTTGCTTCTGTGTTACTTAATTAAGAATACACCAGAGTAGCAGGTTAATTAAGTCATCTATTATTTTTAAATATACAGTGGACTTCTTTTTCTATAAAATATTTAGAAACATTGTTCTTTCTACAGCACATCACCTGATTTATTCTCCTTTTCTTACTTTATAAAAGAAAGATAATGTTCAGAGTAATAATGTTTTAGGCTAAAATAAATTAGGTGAAGATTTCCACAGGGAAGCTGAGCTTATAGACACCTTGGTTTTAATTTCATTGACTGTGTAATATCTTAGCTACATTTCATTTTGCCAGAATGCTGTTATTTCTCTTATTCTGCCTATTAGTAATTGTACAATATCATTCAGAATTTATAGATAATTAAACAGTATAGCTAACACTTCAAGCTACGCTACCATTCTCTAACTATACATTTCACAGAGATCAGAAAACATGCTTTCAAATAATCACATACATTCTTCCCAAAACACTCTGTGAAATAAATGTTACATTTAAAAAAATACATATTTATTCCTACGGCATGATATTTATGGAGAAGGGATGTGAACACACATGTAAACATATATATACATTTGAACTTTATTTCTTACAGGCCTAACAAAATAAAAGAAAATATTCGACCAATGGGTCAGATATAGCAGAACAAATTGTAGAAATAACAAAATCTATTGTAGAAGTGAGGTGCAGTGCCATACCTCCTCCTTACTCCTCTCCCAGCAAGTGAGATTTGGCACTAGGCCTGGCTTTTTTTTTTTTTTTTTAGTTAAGCATCCAAGCTATGACAAGGGGTACTTCAATCTGTGTTCTGAATTAAATCCACAGCTTCCCCCTTCCCAACTCTTACTAGAGGTATTGATTTTGCTCACTGATTCCCAGTCTTGTTGCTGGGACTTGGATGAGTTTGGGCCTTGCTAACGCATCTGTACTTCATTTAACTCCTGACATAGCAGTTGGCTAGAATGCTCCCTCTGATGTGATGCAGAGTAGATGTATTTATCATTCAAAAAATACCCAGACTTGCACTGCCTGATTGCATTCCATTCTTCTAAATTAAGTTCAGGGACCTATACATTATACCCCTAGGCTTGATGACTTACACCTCCCTTGTCCCTCCCTACTAAACTTTGCTACCTTTATTTGCTCCTTTTCTGGTTTGTGGTTTGCCCCCAGATGGTTTTTTGACCTTATTTAATGGGACTGAGAGAACCTCTGAGAATGCTGTCAGAGCTCCCTTTCTACCAGTTGACTAGCCCCTGTCCCCAGCGCCACATCATTCTCTCCCAAGTGAATTACATTTGAGAGACTGATCCTGGGCCTCTAAGAAAAAAGAGTCAAAGTCCCATAGACCCAAAGTCTCTGCAATAACCAGTACATGGGATATGGGTAAACTGGTATGTAGGTATGAAGCTGTTGTCCCAGTGGATGGATAGAGGGGCCTGGTACTGCAGGATATGTGATATACCAGCAGACCCTGGAATGGGCAAATTTGTATTCCCAGACAATAGTTCTGGATCTCTGATCCAGCTTGACCATCTTAGAAAAGCACAGCTGAAACAGAGTATGTGAAACACCCTTTGTCTAATACTTCTGGGTCTGACACCACTACAATCTCTCCCACATGGATAGTGGAAGAAAAGCTACCAAAAATATTCCTAGAAAGAGCAGTTTCCAGAGCACTTGAACAGGCCTGGGCAGTGACTGTGTGATCTAGGAGCCAGCATACCCAAAGATCACCTGTATGAGTTAGATAAACCAGCTATACTGACATAAGATGAAATCTCAATTTGGTATTGTGTGGTGGGCCGTAGTGGGCTAATGCAACTGAGAACTGAAGCATGTGATCTGGCTTCACCCTGCTGTATCCATGAAGGCTAAGAATTCTGATAATCTGTTGTTGTCCTAAGACATCTATCAAGATGTTAGAGATTATTAATCTTTCTGCAAAATCCAGAGCAATTAGGAGCCAGAAATGGAATCCTATATATCTCATGTACATGTTAAATCTCAGGGGGTATGTCTACACTACCCTCCTAGTTCGAACTAGGAGGGTAATGTAGGCATACCGCACTTGCAAGTATAGCCCGGGATTTGAATTTCCCGGGTTTCATTTGCATAAGCCGGGCGCTGCTATT